GCTGGCTGCCCAAAAGCAGCCTGCTTCTGCACAGAACCTCTGGAGAATCAGGCCCTCAATGAGCACCTGCCCAGAAAACATTTCAACGAGAAATTATTAGTCTGCCGAAGTGTAAGACAAAACTGAGACAGAGCAATTATTTTAAGCTTCAGGAGCATGGCAAACAAATCCCATTTTTACAAACTAACTTTGTTCTCTTAATACAAGACAACATTGGAATTGTTTTACTTATCTCTGAAAGTAATTAACTAGTATAAGACCCTTAATGTGTACACTCGCATTTCACTTTGTTTTAAGAGATGAAGTTTCACTCTTGCTGCCCAGGCTGGAGTGCAATGTTGGCTCACTGCAACCTCCGCCTCTCCCAGGTTCAAGCGATTCTCCTGCCTCAGCATCCTGAGTAGCTGGGATTACAGGTATGTGCCACCACACCTGGCTAATTCTGTATTTTTATTTTTTATTTTATTTTACTTTTTAAATTTTTTTTAAGATGGGGTTTCACCATGATGGCCAGGCTGGTCTTGAACTCCTGACCTCAGGTGATCCACCCACCTCGGCCTCTCAAAGTGCTAGGATTACAGGCGTGAGCCACCGCGCCTGGCCTAATTCTGTATTTTTAGTAGAGACGGGGTTTCTCCATATTGATCAGGCTGGTCTCCAACTCCCAACCTCAGGTGATCCGCCCGTGTTGGTCTCCCAAAGTGCTGGGATTACAGGCGTGAGCCACTGAGCCCAGCCGGGCACTTGCATTTCATATACTGCTCTATAACAAGTCACTTGTTCACAAGGACATCCCTGCACTGCAAATGCATCTCCTTTCCCAAGAGGCAGAACTTAAAAGGGAAAAAGGACTTGTCTAACCTGAAAATTATCTTCTCAGGCTAGCTCAATTAGGGCAGGCCCATTCCTGCAGGCTTCTTTTGCTTCCATTAAGGAACTCTTAAATGCCTGGGAAGAGCGAGTGACTACAAACCTCTGGCCTACATGGGAATCCACAGCTCAGCCTGAACTGCCTGTGTTTCCAGTGGTCAGGGGCCTTAAAACACACCTAAGGGTTGGGTGCGATGGCTCATGCCTGTAATCCCAGCACTTTGGGAGGCTGAGACGGGCAGATCACAAGGTCAGGAGTTCGAGACCGGTCTGGCCAATATGGTGAAACCCCATGTCTACTAAAAATACAAAAACTAGCCAGGTGTGGTGGTGGGCACCCGTAGTCCCAGCTACTCGGGAGGCTGGGGCAGGATAATCACTTGAACCTGGGAAGCGGAGGTTGCAGTGAGCCAAGATAGTGCCACTACACTCCAGCCTGGGTGACACAGCAAGACTCCATCTTAAAAAAACAAAACAAAACAAAAAACACCTATGTCTACACCTTGTCTGGCCATAAAGATTTTAAGTGTGCTGATGCATTGTTTCATGTATCCTATTACTAATTCAACCAAGGGAACTTCTTTGTTTAGACAATTCTTATTGACTGGGCTTGAAATGTGCAGGCCGTTTTCTGGGTGACTAGCTGTAGAAAGAATAAGATTGAATACACCTCTCCTACTGAGGTGGTATATATTCTTTAGAAATATAAGAAGCCTTTCTGGTGTTAATCATATATTTTTTTAATCCTCCAGAAGACCCTTCCCCGATTATGGATTACTCCAACTTCACAATTGTAAGAAAGTACAAGTAATGAACCTAATGAACCCCATCCATGGTTCCTTGTGAAAGAACAAGGAATACTGCTTAAAAGTTTAAATTACTACAAAACTAGTGTCTTACTCTACTCTATTGGTTCTGAAACTTCAGTGCACATCTGATCACCTGGTAGACACTCATTAAAATCCAAATAGCTAAGCCCCTACTCCCAGAGTTTAAGAGTAGGTTTGGGTAAGGCCCAAGAACCTGTATTTCCAGCAAGTTTTCAAACAATGCAGATGCTGCTGATCAGGAAACCAAACATTGAGAACTACAACTGACACTTGAACAACAAGTGTTCGAAATGCTGGAGTCCACTTAAATGAAGGTTTTCTTTCTCCTCTGCTACCATAGACAGCAAGGCCAACCTCTCCTCTTCCCCATCAGCCTACTCAACAAGACAATGAGGATTAAGATTTTCATTATGATCCACTTCCACTTAATAGTAAACATATTTTCTTTTCCTTACGATTTCCTTAATGTTTCCTTTTCTCAAGCTTACTTTATTGTGAGATTATAGTATATAATACATATCGCATACAAAATATGTGTTAATTGACTGTTTCTGTTATCAGTAAGGCTTCTGGTCAACAGGCTATTAGTTAAGTTTTCGAGAAGTCAAAAGTTGTAACTCGAATTTTTGACTGCACAGGAGTCAGCACCCCTAACCCTTGTGTTGTTCAAGGGTCAACTAGACTGCTCTATTCAAATGCTTCCATTTCAATCAGTACCATCAGGAGCTGAAGTCCCCAACTAATTTAATCTGAACATAGAGAGTTCCACAGATTGGATTTTCAGTATTTCACTAAACTATGCTGATATTCCACTTTCTAAAGTCCTGCTTTAACCATCCTAATATTAGTATGAAAACAAACTCTAGTCTTTGTGCTCTACTTGTCACCCAATCCGAAAAAGTAACATCAGAATTAAGTGGCTTGTTAAACACTGAAATATGAGAAAGGATTAGGATTCTGACACACAGTAAAACAGCTGCAAAGGCAGTTAACTATATCTACTATTTGGTAAATGCTCACTAAAAGGTAGAAACTATTTAACTTAGAGTGAAGTACCAAGTTTTTATAAACATATATTGAAAACCACTGTTCTGGTCCTTTAAAAATATCCTCTAAGGGTGGCCGGGCATGGCGGCTCATTCCTGTAATCCCAACGCTTTGGGAGGCCAAGATGGGCAGATCACTTGAGGCCAGGAATTCAAAACCAGCCTGGCCAACAGGTCAAACCCCGTCTCTACTGAAAATACAAACATTAGCCGGGCATGATGGTGTGTGCTTGCAATCCCAGCTACCCAGGAAGATGAGGCAGGAGAATTGCTTGAATCCAGGAGGTGGAGGCTGCCTCAAGCCGAGATTGTGCCACTGCACCCCACCCAGCCTGGGCAACAAAGCGAGACTTTGTCTCAAAAAAAAAAAAAAAAGAAAAGAAAAGAAAAAAAAAAAAGTCCTGTAAGCTTTATACCTTGACCAATGGAGTAAAGTAATTGAATGAAGCAAAGTACAAATCCTTAGCCAAATAAGATAGTAAAGTTCAGACAGATAGATCAACTTCTCCAAAGGAGGTTGTGGGTCACCTGCATTAGTCAGAATCATTTGAGATTGTTGAAGATATATTAAAAATGCAGATTTTCAGTACCCACCACTATAGAATCAATTTCAAGGTGTACAAATAGGAATATATATTTTCACCAAGCATCCCCAGGTGACTTATATGCATATGAGCTTGATAAGAACAATGAAAACATACTGTTGAGCTCTCAGGGTTTCTCACTTGATCTTCTACCAACTGGTGAGCTAGAGGAGAAAGGAGTTTGCATTTCACAACTGAAATGTCTGTTGTAAGCATCTGTCTTGACCATACAGAATGAAACGATGCCTTTTTTTTTTTTTTTTTTTTTTTTGTAGAGACAGGGTCCCGCCATGTTGCCCAGGATGCTTTAGAATTCCTGGGCTCAAGCAATTCACTCATTTCCACCTCCCAAAGTGCTTGCCACTTCATAGTAAGTAAGCAAAATACATAAATACAGACTGCTATAGAATGAAATATTAAAAGGATAACAAAAACTCAATGGTAGCCAGAGAAAAGTGGTTACACTTCTGGCTTGGGGTTAGGTGGTAATTGCAGGTAGACTTCCCTAGAAAGGAAATAGAGTATCTGTTGACTATGCCATCAATACTGAAACAGGCTCTGAGATGTTCAGAACTCTTAAGGAGTTCACAATAGTTAGTGTCTTCCTAAAAATATGTAGTAAAATGGAGAAGTATTGGGTATACCTATCTAAACCATATCAACTTCTAAAACTAAGAGGCATTCACTCATTCCAAGGTATAAGAAATACTACTTAAACAGGACCTAACATGGTCTTTTTTTTTTTGAGATGATGCCTTGCTCTGTCTCCCAGGCTAGAGTGCAGATGTGTGATCTTGGCTCACTGCAACCTCAGTCTCCTGGGTTCTAGTGATTCTCCTGCCTCAGCCTCCTGAGTAGCTATGACTACAGGCTTGCACTCCCACGCCTGGCTAATTCTTTGTATTTTTAGTAGAGATGGGGTTTCACCATGTTGGCCAGGCTGGTTTCGAACTCCTGACCTCAAGCAATCCACCCACCTCAGACTCCCAAAGTGCTGGGATTATAGGCGTTAAGCCACCACGCCTGGCCAACATGATCTTAAGAGTGGTAGGAGAAGAATGCATGCTGAACTCTGAACTTGATTACTAGAAAAAGGGGAAAGAGGGTTGCTGCCAGACACCTGTTTTTTTTAAAAAAATCAAATTTCTGATAAATGTACTTATTAGGGAGACCTCTCAGTGCTGGGTACCTGGCCCTGGAGACCTTTTAGTTTGGAAATCAAGTGTAATAAGCCAGTAATTACAAAGACTAGCCAATTTGTGTTCCTTCTCCTCCCTTTCCTTTCCTTTTCTCATTAAGTGGAAGCATTAAATATTAAGAAATAGATCCTGAGCTACAGTCAATTCCCAAGAAGCTCTTGTTTCTTCATTTTTGATATTAAATAGTAAGAACTACTAACATTGTATCCATTCCTGAAAAAATGCACAGATTGTAAGATTAAGGCACAGTAAATCTAACATTTTGTCCCAATCACTATTCTAGTATTCAAATAACTGTAACTAATACCACTATGTACTCTGCACCTTTCTCTGAAGAGCTTTAACAGCTTTTATGTATTACCAATATTAAGATACTTCATGGATTAGGAAAAGGCAATAATATTTAAATCGTTTCATAAAATTAGTTTCTCAGGACTTTAAGTAGTCTATTCTCTAAGATATTAGTTCTTCAAATATGTGAAGATGGTGATTTCAAATTCTTTATTTCAATCAATTCAGTTCAAGGATTTATTACTTCAAATACTTGAATTAGCTACTGTCACGATTTGTCACATAGAATGTGAACATTTCTAGTCATTCTGACAATCTACCTGTTTAGGAAATGTGAAAACTATTTTTCTAAAATTCAAGCAACACAGGTGTCTGATACAAAAAGAAAACGGAAAATAAAAATACAGAACTTAATCTTTTTGCCTATTTCAGGAGAAAAGGTTTAATGGGTACATGGGTATACTAAAAAACCATTTTTCGTAACACTTTTTTTTTTTTTTTTTTTGAGACGGAGTTTCGCTCTTGTTACCCAGGCTGGAGTGCAATGGTGCGATCTCGGCTCACCGCAACCTCCGCCTCCTGGGTTCAGGCAATTCTCCTGCCTCGGCCTCCTGAGTAGCTGGGATTACAGGCACGCACCACCATGCCCAGCTAATTTTTTGTATTTTTAGTAGAGACGGGGTTTCACCATGTTGACCAGGATGGTCTCAATCTCTTGACCTCGTGATCCACCCGCCTCGGCCTCCCAAAGTGCTGGGATTACAGGCTTGAGCAACCGCGCCCGGCCCTCGTAACACTTTAAGTAATAAGAGTTTGGAAATCCAAGGTCCTGGGTCTCTAATTTCTTTAGGGAGTGGGGGGGACTCTGGATTGGGACTAAATGGAGACGTTACTCTCTTGCACTGATAGTGAAATATTAACTGCCAGAAAGTACCTCCAGTTCCTATTCATGTTATATGACAGGTGCCTTTGTATTGAGGCCTAATGAAAAATCTCAACAGAGGAAGTGACTAATATATACCTACAACTTACTAATTTCAAAGTTGATCCTGAGAGGCATGTGGGTCTGTCTTGTTCATCTGTGTCTAACAACAGATATTCACTTTCTGAATGTTTGTATGAATGAATATGGCAACCTAAACTTTTCCATTTATAATTAAACAGGAAATTTTTAGCTTCCTAAGTAGACTGCCAAACATTGCACCATCCCAAGTGTGAAAGGGGAAACTTAATCACTGCCAAAGATGATAATTATTATTTTTTTTTTTTGAGACAGAGTCTCACTCTGTTGCCCAAGATGGAGCAGGTACAGTGGCATGCTTACAGCTCACTGCAACCTCCACCTCCTGGGGCTCAAGCAATCCTTCCACCTCAGCCTCCTAACTACCTGGGACTACAGGCGTGCACCAAGACACTAATTTTTGTATTTTTTGTTGAGACAGGTCTTTCCCACATTGCCCAGGCTGATCTTGAACTCCTGGGCTCAGGTGATCTGCCCATCTCAGCCTCCCAAAGTGCTGGGATTACAGACATGAGCTTCCAGGCCTGACCCAAATATTTTTAATCTACAATTTAAGGTATGAGAAACAAAGTGGTGTACACAGCAAGTGATTTTCACTGGGCAACTTAAGTTGCCACAAAGTCAAAGCAAGTCAGTACCCTCCTGAGCCAGCCTGTCTAAGAGTTATAGCAATAGTATCATACTCAAGGCTCCCTAGTGACCCCTCCAGCTTGGTTAAAATTTCACAATACATATATGCCCAAATTTAAAGAAATTAAAGATGTTCCCTTTGTACAAAAGACTAATAAAGCAATTTCTGAAAAAGGTGTTTTTTGTTTTTTTGTTTTAAGGATTGGCAAGGAACTAAAAATTCTGTTCTAAGCTTCATCTTTCATAAAGTAATCCTCACATGCTCTTTAATCCTCAATGTTGTAAGGTACGTATTAAACCTGCTTTATAGGTGAAGAACTAAGGCTCTGATAGTAACTTGCTCAAAGACCTAGCCCTTGAGCAGTAGCTCAAGAACTCAAATTTAAATTCCCTTTAAATCTCTATTATGAAGTGGTGGGGGTGTAGAGGAGGGTCGGGAGGTGGGAGATGATTCATTCTGTATCAGAGGAAAATGGAAGAAAGAGAGACCAAAGCTTTGAAGACTTTTAAATCCAACCCTATTGTGGGCATATTCCTTGTATACCAAGGGCAACATATCTGCAGAGCATTAACAAATAGTCATCTTCCCAGAGTTTTTTTCCTATATACTTTATGAACTATATTTTTCCTAACATGTTTATCTCTTTAAGCACTTATCTTTGAAGACTCTTTAAAATTAGGCCCTGTTCTGTAATTTCTATACTACAAAATTATTTTCTCATGCCTACTTTTAATTGAATATAAGTCTGCGCCTGTTGTGATGCTTCTGTGATAATCCTTTTGCTGAATGGCAGAAGATCTCTACTAAGATCCATTAGGCTTAAATCTAATGGACATTAGTGAACACATCCTTAAATGACTTTCGTTTATTTCCTTTAAGTAGCACTTCCAAAATAACAAATTCAAGGCAATTCAGTATTCAGCATCAGCTAGACTTATGAGCCATTACTGAAATTTCTTCTGACTTTATAAATTTTTTTCATGGAATCTCCCAAATGCCTATACTCATGCACAACTGTTAACATGACATTTGCTAGTAAATTCTCACACATAAGCTTTATTATATTATTTATGGTATTCTTATTCCCAGGAATTACTATTTCAAAGAAAACTAAGTTGGTCACTTTAAGCAACCATTTGAATAAATAAAAATTTGAAGTTAATTCTCAGGTGCTTTGAGACTTCTGTTTAATTTTAAAATGTTCTGGGGCAGAGGTAAAATAGTGGCCTTTGAAAAAATATGCTGACACAAGACATACTGAATTCTGTGGTTTAAAAAAAAATTAACAAATAATGAACTTGGCATTTTATTAAATGCATTGACAAAGTAAGGGTCAGGTTACTTTTAATAGAAAATCCATAATTATATTAAATGGCTGAGAAATCAGTCACATCAACAGACTTCTTTCATTTCCAAGTTCATCTTCTGTACTGCTAGAAGTTCTTTTAGCAATTACCACTTTGCCTTAAACTCATTCTTAGAAAAGTAGAAGCCAGTACATTTGGCTCCTACTTAGCTCAAACCTAGATATGAAGACACCTTTTACTTTACAGTGACTGCTCTGTAATTGGAAGAGATCAGTGTAGGCTATGGTGATTTAATTAGGTAAAGACTCAACAACACTAGTTACATGTTACAATTCACTGTGTAAACGTCAAGATTTAAAACTTTAATGGAAAAGCAATGAAAGACAGACTCCCCAACATCAATCACTATTTCAAACCTAATATTCCAAATAAAGATCCAGTTGAGAATAGAAGCTATCTGATCAAAGTTTACATTTTACAATGAGAACAGAGAGGCACTTTCATATACATATCTAATTCTCATAGTGAAACATAAATATTATCCTTGCTTATAGATGAGAAAACAAGGAAAACAAGGTTCAGTGGCCAGGCCACATTTCATAGTAAGAAAATCGAGATTTTTCTGAATCCTACACCAATTTTCTATTTTACCACAGCTACTCTATCTCCTCATACCCTCCCTCTTCACCAGCTATATCCTAGACCTAACATTCCACAAAGGGTCCACGCTATCTCTACCAGCAGACAATCAAGGGCAGGCTGTGACATCTGTACTAGAAGCTTACCAAACTTGGGGTTTCCAGAATCTGGACCAAGGCAGCATGTTATCAAAAAGGGGACAAGAAAAGGGATAAAGGGTAAAAAGAAAAAAAAAAAAGTTTCCTTTCCTGGTCTCTGGTTCTTCCAATAAGCCTATGCAATCTATACTATCTTCATTCAATTAAGATTTAATGCACATAAAAATGTGGTGCCTAGTGAGTTTTCAAAATTAGTTTCCTTCATCCCACTTCTGCTGCTAGACAAGAGCTGAGATAGCCAACTACAAGGAAATAAAGGGGCTAACTTACTGGAGTCAGGTTAATTAATGGGTCTTAGCCAATAAGATCCATAAATGACAACGATCCTGAAACCTACTAGTCTCCTGCACAATCAGTAAAATACCTAACAAAGCTTTATAAATCTGGGCATTCATACATGTATGATAGCAAGATTAAAATCTGGACTCCTACTAAATGGCAAAAGGGTACACTATTCTAGTGGAGGACTAATCTTCAACGAAGAACTTTTTTTTGAAACTCTAACAGCCAAGAAAAGTTCTAGGCATCTATTTTTGCTAGGGTGTGCTTAAAAAATATATAGATAGATAGATAGATAGATAGATAGATAGATAGATATAAAGAATATCAATTGATATATACATAAATATATATTTATATATATATATAAAGAATAATGGGACCACGTGCTGGCTGGTTTTGTTTTGTTTTTAAAATACAGGAAAATCCCAGGCACAGTGGCTCACGCCTGTAATCCCAGTACTTTGGCAGGCTGAGGCGAGCAGATCACGAGGTCAAGGGATGGAGACCATCCTGGCCAACATCGTGAAGCCCCATCTACTAAAAATACAAAAAAAAAAATTAGCTGGGCGTGGTGGCACACGCCTGTAGTTCCAGCTACTAGGGAGGCTGAGGCAGGAGAATTGCTTGAACCCAGGAGGTGAAGATTGCAGTGAGCCGAGATCTCGCCACTTCACAACCTGAGTGACAGTGCGAGGCTCGGTCTCAAAAAAAAAAAAACCAACAGGAAAATGTCAGAATACCCAGGGATCTGTTGAATTTTTTTTTTTCAACATAATTATTTACAACAACAAATACAGGAGATCTAAAGTCCCTAAAAATGCAGACTGCTTTAACATCATTTGTTGGAGCTTACCTAGGTGATTCTTAGGAATGCTAATGAACTGTGTTCTTAGGTTCCTTGAATCCACAGAAACAAAAAAGTTAATTTCAAAAGCTCACAGAGGAATTAATGACCTGGTAGAGATGCCTCTCCACCCCAAATCTGATGGGAATGGTAGAAGGGAGATGGTAAATTAAAATATTTATTACATGTTTCAGAAAAATTCTAAAGTACATAAGGATGAAGGTAGCAGAGAGATAAGTGAGTGAAACTAGAAGCTTAAGACAAATTAAAAATGAATACCAAACAAAAAGAAATTAAGGGTCAGGCGTGTGAGCACTTTGAGAGGCTAAGGTGGGCAGGTTGCTTGAGCCCAGGGGTTCAAGACAAGCCTAGGCAACATAGCAAGAAACCTCATCTCTACAAAAAATACAAAAATTAACCTGGCATTGTGGCGTGCACCTATAGTTCTAGCTACTTGGGAGGCTGAGGTGGGATTGCTTGAGCCCAGGGGGCAGATGTTGCAGTTAACTGAGATCACACTACTGCACTCCAGCCTGGGCAACAAAGTGAAACCCTGTTCCCCCAACCCCCTACCAAAAAAAAAAGGAAAAAAAAAAGAAGTTACAATTACAAGTTGCCTACTTCCCTTGGAATTTCTTTGAGAGACATAAATGACACACATTAATAAAGACAGACAAAATTTGTAAAGTTAACACAAATTTTGATACAGATGGCCAAAGTTGATATGATCTATATACTCCAGAAATATGCATGAGACATCAATAACATCACTTCTCTCCCAGTTCGAAAAATATTTAGGATCTTTCTTATACACACAGAATAAAAATGCTCAACAATATCTATTTACTATTAAATCATTTCGGCAAACTACGAACCATTTCTTATAACACCACCAAAATACCATTAATATCTAACAGACATTCCTCTACAAGCTCCCCCCAACACCCAATCAAACTTTGCCTATCCTGCCCTAATCTGTATCCCCCTCCACCCTTTCCAGGCCCTATGCTATCAACCCAGCACATACTGTCCATGTCTAGATAGGCAGGTGACAGGGAGGGTGGGGGTTGGCAAAATGCTAATTATTCCAAGCCCTGGCCTGTATTTTAGATTTTCTACTGCAGCTATTGGCCTGGAGCCATGGGGATAGAAAGCTGCTGCTCAAACTTCAGGTTTCCAAGGCTTGGAAATGGGGAGAAAAGACCTGTTCCAAATATTGCTACTCGAAGTTTAAACACAATCTGAAAGCCTCCTTTAAACACAATACCCATTCACTTCTTAAGGGCTACTTTGGAAGTCTCTAAACTCTTTACCTTAAGAAACCCATTTGTCAACTGTTTGCCTAAATGCTCTTATTATGCAAAGTTAATGGTTTCAAAATAATTAAGGGAGAGTCAGATAATCTAAACTACACAACACAGAAAATTCACCCAACTGACTCTCACCTTCACATTCAATATATTTTACTATTCTTTCAAGAGTTTTTTTTTTTTTTTAAACCTCCAGGTCTAAGGTCGAAACACTTATTTCAAACATTTCCACAGCTTCATTCAAACTAATTACACCTGAATTCATTTTCCCAAGTGAACCCAGTTTATTGGAGTTTGACATAGTTTCACATGGGAAAGATGCAATCCTTCGGAAAACACACTTCTGGGGAAACGACTTTGGATTTGAAGAATATCAGTTTTACTTTGCACTAAAAAGATGGCAAAAGTTGTCAATGACGTGTCATGTAGATATACATTCATGTCCAACTAATATGAAATAACATGGTTTTAGTATAATCTGAAATCTTCTAAAATGATACGCATCCAGAAAGTACAACAGAATCATTTCCCATACCACTAGCAGCAGGTGACAACTGTTACTATAATAATATATAGCACAGCTACACAGCTGTATGTTAAAAGGCAGACCTTTTTTTTTTTTTTTTCACTTCCACATCCCACACACGCACTGAAAACAAGCAAAACAAAAAACCTCACAGTCCAATTCTGGAATATAAACTTTAGGACATGTTATTTAATAATCTGAACAACCTAATGAATGTCTTTTGAAACTCTCTCAATTCCCCATCTTTTTTTTTTTTTTTTTTTTTTTTCAATTCCACTTCTTTATGCTGACAGCAAGGGGAAAAAGTCAGACTTGATTTTTTTTTTCTGTTACTGGTTAAGATGAGATTTGAGGACTGACCTTGGATTCCTATTTTCCATTTTACTCTATCTACTGAACCAAAGAAAAGCAGGAGTGTCAGTGACTGTTACTGTTAGCTATATTATGTAGTTTGCACCTTTCCAGCCACGAATATTCAAGCTGATTCTTTTAGTA